TCTCTTTAAACTCTGTTATAGTTCTAGCCTTCACAACTTCCTGCAGCAAGGAGTTCCACAGGTTGACCATTTGCTTTCTGAAGAACTTTCTGTTATTAGTTTGAAGCCTGCTACCCATTCCTTTCCTTTGGTGTCCTCTAGTCCTTCTATTATGGGAACTAATGAAGAACTTTTCTTTATGCACCCTCTCCACACCACTCATGCTTTTATAGCCCTCTATCATATCCCCCCTCAGTCTCCTCTTTTCTAAGCTGAAAAGTCCCAGTCTCTTTAGCCTCTCTTCATATGGGACCTGTTCCAAACCCCTGATCATTTTAGTTGCCCTCCCCTCTTCCACCCTCTCTCTTCCCCTCTCCCACCTCTTTTTCCCAGTCTCCCTGAGTTTTGTTCAATAAAGAGAGTTTTTATTTTTGAACACACATGTCCTTTATTTTGTACATTAGGAAGGGGATGTTAGGGAGGGGTACGTGGAAGGAGGTGAGGGAGGAATGGGGTACGAGCCCCCGATGGGGAGGACTGGGGTGGCTCTGCGGGCTCCTCTCCTGCAGCCCCCCCCGTTTGACCCCCCTCCACGGATGGCAGCCTGGGGCAAGTGCATCCGGGCTGATGGCCAAGTGCTGTGATGTGCCGAGTGTGGGCATTCAGGGCACTCCAAGCCAGGACTGCTTTGCTGTCCCTCATCGACATAGACAAGCAAGCAGGGAACCCTGAGAACTGTCTGTCCAGGGTGGGGGTCGGGTCCCTTTAAGTACAGCCCTCGGCTAGCCTGAGACAGCAGCTCCACGCTCTAAGTCCTAACCTGATGCCCTGCCGGCAATGGTTCCGGCCAGCCTTAACTTCGGTTCAGGGTCCACTCAATGTGGACTTGCTAGTTCGAATTAGCAAAATGCTAATTCGAACTAGTTTTTAGGTCTAAATGCACTAGTTCGAATTAGCTTAGTTCGAATTAACTAATTCGAATTAAGTTAGTTCGAATTAGTGCTGTAGGGTAGACATACCCTGAGAGACTTCAAGCAGGTGTGCAGTCTGCCTATACAGCTTTCTGTGCAGGATCAGGACACTGTGTAAAACTACAGGGACGGCTGTAACTAACGATAGGAACCATCTGCTAAGTATATGGACTATGTATTCTCCTAAGAGAACATTTAATTCTACACTCAAGCCATTTTTAATATCATTAATTGTTTGCTTACCGGCTCCCCCTTTTGTCCCTCCACTCCAACCCCTGGACTGCCCTAATAAAAAAATTCAAAACAATGGATGATGAGTAAAAACATTCACAAAATACTTGCATAATAATTTAACAATTTCAGTATTTTAAAACATTGCTATAGTCACACAATACCATAAATGTCTGTATTTTAAAACATTGCTATAGTCACACAATACCGTAAATGCAGACATAAGTATACATTTCACTGCAACTGTACGAATCCCATGGAAAACAGACACTCACCTTTTCACCTGACAACCCAGGAAGGCCTGGAGCACCCTTTAAAAAAGAGAGTGAGACAACTTAATATTCTGACTTGAGGGCACAGCTTTGCACTAAGAATGATCCAGATCTGAACCTTCCTAGAGGAAGCAAAATTTCTCCCACAGGTCACTTGAGGTGCATTAGCTATGTGCCTAGACTAGAGCCTCACCTCCCGATGGAATGATGGTGCAACCCCTCATGGCCAGTTATTCCACTTGTCTGCCCTCAGCAGTTTGGTGTTCTGGCTCTATAACTTTACTTTTGGCTCTATACCTTCCCTGCCTCCTTCAGAGCTTTGTTTGCAAGGGACGAGTCAGAAGAGAGTATTACCCAAACTCCCTGTACCTATGGACTGGAATTCTGCATGGATCTTACCTGTATGTGCACATACATGTGGGAAAAGGCCTTTATACTCTCATTCTTCCACTGCAGATGAATGTAAAGGCCAGGAAGCGTCAGGCCATTTAATTAACAACCTTATACCAAATGTTTAGGTGTGAATTTACATTGGGGCTGAATTTTTTCGTTGAATTTATATATAATCGCAAAATGCAGCATTATGTAACAGTGCCGGTCTTACTTGCAAGCCTGGTTGGCCTGGGAATCCATATGGGCCCCTTGGTCCCCTATTGCCTCTAGGTCCCTGAAAAAGAGGGGGAAAGATGTATTTATTTGTGAAAACATTAGCATCTCAATTGTTTCCTCATACCAAATTACTTAACATGTCTCACACTGATTCCCAATTCTCATTAAACTCCTGAATGCTATATTGCTTGGACTCCCTCTATGTCCCATTGGCATTGTTCTGGTCATGTACAACTGGCAGCCTGGTGCTTTTATTCCCATTTGGCTGATGTTCTAGAACAACTCCTAGGTCATGTAGTGCAGACACTAGCTAATAATAGTTATGCATATTAGGATATAATACATTATATGTACTATATAGTTAGTGTACATTTATACTGGTATGTAGTATTGTTGTTTGTGGTGGTGATGTAGCTGTGTTGGTCCCAAGGTATTAGAGAAATGAGGTTGGTGAGGTGGTATTTTTTTTATTGGACCAACTTCTGTTGATGAAGACAAGCTTTGGAGTTAACACCAAGCTTTTCTTCAAGTCTGAGACAGATAGCGTCACAGCTAACTACAAGGTGGAACAGATTCACAAAATGATCACTCCTTATCTGGCTTCTCAGTCCTCATCCTCAAAGGAAACCTGCACAGCACTTTTCAAAAGATGAGTCTGGGAGCTTAAATTCATAACTTTGCTAGACACTAAGATCATAAGCTAACGAAGACAGTGGATTGATGGTTTATTACAACAATCTATACTTCTACTGACCTTTTTTGTCAAATGACTGCAGAGGTGGGCTACTTCACCTTTAATGCTCTTACAAAATGTGTCACTATTTATGCTAAGCAATCTGTTCTGCTTTGTATTTAGCTGTGACAGTGTGAGTACCTTTCCCAGACCTGAAGGAGAGCTCTGTGTAGCTTGAAAGCTTGTCTCTTTCATTAAAGACATTACCTCTCTCACCTATCTTTCTAGTACATACTAGTAATGTATATAAATGTGACAGGGTGTAACAAGCCCACACTGGATTCAGCTCACATACTTGTTTGTTATTGTTGGACAACATACTGTAGTATTGCCATATACTGAAAGTGAGTAACCCTCACTTATGAATGGTCTCATTGAAAAAGTATGACAATAGGAGAGAGAACAGACCACCTTAGCAAGACTTGCCTGTGTGGGACTGATGGTCTTCCCAGAGGGTACGTCTAGACTACATGGCTCTGTCGACAGAGCCATGTAGATTAGTGTACTCTAAAAAGGGAAATGAAGTGGCGATTTAAATAATCGCAGCTTCATTTACATAAAAATGGCTGCCGCGCTGTGCCAATCAGCTGTTGGGGGCCCAGCGCGGTAGTCTGGACGCTCTGCGGTTGACAAGGGAAGCCCTTGTCGACCGCCCCGTTATGCCTCGTGGAATGTAGGGAAAAAGTATGACAATAGGAGAGAGAACAGACCACCTTAGCAAGACTTGCCTGTGTGGGACTGATGGTCTTCCCAGAGGGTACGTCTAGACTACATGGCTCTGTCGACAGAGCCATGTAGTCTAGACGTACCCTCTGGGAAGACCATCAGTCCCACACAGGCAAGTCTTGCTAAGGTGGTCTGTTCTCTCTCCTATTGTCATACTTTTTCAATGAGACCATTCATAAGTGAGGGTTACTCACTTTCAGTATATGGCAATACTACAGTATGTTGTCCAACAATAACAAACAAGTATGTGAGCTGAAGAAAGATACTTACAGGTATGCCAGGGAGCCCTGGTTCACCTCTTGCTCCCTGGAATGACAAGCATTTTTAATAGAGGGTCATACTTTCACTTACACAGAATTATGAGCCAACATGTGATTTTCAATACAGGCAGCCCCCGGGTTACATACAAGATAGGGACTGTAGGTTTGTTCTTAAGTTGAATCTGTATGTAAGTCGGAACTGGTACATATTGTAGGGGAAACTCTAGCCAAACATTTCTCCAGAGCTCAGTTTTATTCTCCCACACCTCACTTCCCTCAGTCCTTTATTCTCAAGCTGAGGTGTCTGCTGAGAAAAGCCGCTCCGCGTCTCCCTGGTCTGCTGGGGGGGAAGCAGCTAGTGCGGGGTTGCCTCACCCCGTTTGTAAGTAGGGATCCGATGTAAGTCGGATCCATGTAACCCAGGGACTGCCTGTATATTGAAAAAAATCATTTAAATAACATCAAGCTTTGGATTTAAAGAAGAATTTGATATTGCAAATATGATCTAATTGTTGAAATACATTTACATATTTTAGAGACTCTTAATAATACATTTTATAATATCATCTACTTACTAAAGCTTTTAGTATTTTAAGGAAAGGCTGGCTTCCTCATGCCCAAATTTTCTTTTTGGTCTCATAGTTAATTAAGACACAATGATGAATTGGTGACAGCACAATAATTTCCAGGGTAACAGACTGCATTGCCATAGGAAAAGGATTATGATGTCAGTACTGGATCAATGAAAAGGAAAGATGGGACACAGAGAGCCTTTATAAAAAACACAAAAATATCCAAAAATAAAGAAAATACAGAAAAAACATAACTGACTTCCGATACACATGCACTGATGAGTCTCTAAATCACGGAACAGTTCTTAGGAGAACAGCTGAAGTCATGTATTTGATTATACTTTTGTTGATTTAAAAATATGCCCAAACTGATTGCATGAAAAGTGCCATAGTGAAAACTGGTGTTAGGAGCTCCAGACTTTTTGCTCAACAGTTGGACTGCACTGTATTCACTTTAGGAACATCCCTACATTTAAACATAAGGTTAAGTAGAGATTTTACTATTAGTCTAATTCCAGATGAAGATTAAATGCAAAAGGTCAGGAGCCACAGACTGCATTCTGGTGTACTACTCAACAAGAGAATGAAAAAGACAAAACAACATTTTTCTGATCAGCAAGAATCAAGACAATATCACTCCAGAGTACAAAGGACTAAGTCCATCAAGAGATGGGCAAGACTTCCACGGCAGGGCACTCCCTGTGTGTGCTGCTCTGCTGAACTCAGTGGGAGTTGTGTCATAGTTACAGGGCAGAGAAGGAGATATAAAGGTCTAGAACCTGAGCTGATACAAGTCAGCATAAATCCAGTGAAGTCAATGGAACCGTATATCAGTAAAGAATGTGCTCATAGGTTTGTTTTTTTCTTTTAAAGCATCATTAAAATGCTGCATTATCATGACATGGCCAATCCTAGTATTTTACAGCTTTGCTTATCAGTATTTTGCTGGTTTGCTATTCTCCTCTCCCTGAGCCTCCATCTCTCTATCTGCTCTCTTTTAGATACCGAGTCTGCAAAGTAAAGTTAGTTTGTGCATACATGTTTGAAGGATCGATGCCACAGCATGTAACCCCTTTTAGGGCAGTCTCCAGGCCTCCTTTTATGTTTGAAAAACACTTAGTACAGAGTAGGCACTACTGGAATTAAGTAATGATAATGGTATTCCCAAGTGGATGTGGTGTGCAGGAGGCAGATCCATACTAGACCAAACCTGTAACTGGATTTGCAATTAGCAAATTTAAAGGCATCTTGCTGAAAGGAGTGTTACACCACTTCCATTCATGTACTCGGTCAGCTCAACGTACCAACTGTGTTACCCAGCAGCTATCCATAAGGCTCAAAATTCAACAAGTGTTTGGCTCTAGGTCAAGATTTGGCCTTTGTATATACAACACCAAGCCAGAGGTTATACTTCCACTCACGTCCATGGCAATTTGAAGTTATGATTCTCACAGCAACTCTAATTCAGCTTTTGTACCTTTGTAGAATTTTCCTTTACTGCACATGCTGTTAGCTTTAATGCCTAAGCATATATCCCTGAAAAGTTGGGGGGCAATTTACAGCTGTTGTGGGAATTTCCTTATTTTAGGACAATTAATATCTCAATCTGTATACTGTAGTTAACCTATTTGCATTTAATTTCCATTTTAAAAATAGATAAATTAGATTTTATTCAACAATTTGGTGTTATTAAAATACTTATATTACTTACTATACATATCTTCCTACATTTTATGATTATTTCCACAATAATATACTTACGGGATCACCTTTAATGAAATCTGAAATATACACAGAGTTTCCTTTTTCTCCTTTTTGCCCAAGAATACCCTGAAAAACCAATCAATAATTAAAATTAGATTATGTTCTGCAATAACAACAAGATCTGTCCTCTGATACTCTATACTGCTGTACTGTTTCAGTGATGTCTCAATTTTTATGGCATTCATACTAGGGATGTAAAGTCCCATTTAATCAGTGAACTGGTTAAAGTTACATTTATCCAATTAAGCAGGATCCTAGGGGCAGGGGCTGCTCCAGCCCAGCGGGGTGTGGTGTGCCAGGTCTGGCTGGAGCAGCCCCTACCCCATGGAGCTGTCAGCTGCCAGCTCCCAGTCCCGCAGTACTGCCGTCCACTGGCCCCCAGTCCCACAGGGCTGCCAGCTAACCAGTTACTGGAAAGATGTTAACAGTTCACATCCCTAATTAAGACTCTGTCTCCCAGCTATATTTAATTTCAATGGATACAGTGGCTACTGGAATATAAGTTCTTTACCTTCCTTAGACATTCATACCAGGATTTTTAAGAAGCCAGTTGTATCTTAAGATAGGAAATTTGGAAGTAACAACTGCTGTACCTAAAGAAACTTTAAGTTCTTCAATTATTAGTGTATCCAATTTTCAGAATATTCCAAAAACAAACGTGACGTCTAAGGTGTCCACAGAACCAGGATATCATTTTATGGAACTTAAATATACGAATCTGTACGCAGTAACAGACGATATCCTGGTCTTACATGGACATTCTAAAGCTTGAGGTTGGAAATGAATAGGAAAGTACCTATCATATGACTGCTATAATAAACTGAAGAGCAGCATCTGCATACAGCTGGAGGCAGCTGCAGGAGAATGGACCCATCAAACAGGTTGCTCTGAAGCAGTCCAATTGAAAGCTACATTTGCTTCTGCCTTATTTCCACTTATATCTCTCAACAAATTCCAGGTCTGATTTTGTTTGTGCAACAAAGTATTTTTATTAAATGTATCTTGTCACCTTTTCAGCTTCTTAAGCTGGGGTTTTGTGTGTTAACGCTTTAATTTTTTTCAACCACTTATTTTTTATTTAAAGGGACAATTACAGGTATATATTTAAGATAAGTGAAATTACCATGCACTTATTTTATGACAAAATTATACAGGAACATGATGTAAATGGGAAGGAACAGGGAAATTAAAAGTCCATTGATGTACTTGTAGTAGGTAATCAGGTTAGTATCTGGGGTAATAAATCAATTAATAAGTTGGGGAATCAATCTATATACAGAGCTTGGTGTGGCATTATCATACTTGAACAGATAATTAAGATCTTTGTTTTCACTTTGTCATGTTTTCCTAGAAAGCCTAATTTCTTGGTGTGCGTATTTTAATTTGGATCCCAAGCTGTGTGTGTGTGTTATTTTATGTTCTTTTATATGCTGTGATAGGTCTGCTAAGGCTCAGATTTCCTAGAACCAGCAGATTCAGGCTCTAACTTTGTTCTAAGTCTCAATTTAGCAATTCTGTGCTTTTGCAGAACATCAAAAACTATGTCAGATCCTTTGCTGGTATAAATCAGCATAAACTGTATTGCACTCACTGGAGCGCTACCTTTTTCCACCAACCAAGGATTTGGTTCTGAGATTTTAATTTACTTTAGCCTGTATTAAAATATTGGAGTAATTTAAATTCAGATACACTTTTTTTCAGAGGGAAAGGCTAGTAATCTTAGAGATAATTTTAAATATTTCATTTTTATAAAATATACCTCAGGGTCAGACTGTGGCTGGCTATTATACGGTAGAACATAAGATGATGGTGTGTGTCTCAAGTTATGTATACATGCCATGCTTCTTTTAGTGGCTTCTTTTAGTGGCATATGGTATACAAGGCCTATATGCAGAGGTGGGGGTGCAAAGGCTGTGAAAGCACCCCCTTGGTTCCCCAAGTAAGCATGATCCAGCCAGCCAGGGAAAGGCAGGAGTGGCACGTTACCTGAGTCTCCTTCCCCCGTGCTCTGACCAACTGGGGGAAGGCTGGGGCTGGTTTCCTTGCTTACTTGGGGAACTATGGGGGTACATTCACACCTTTGTGGTCCACACTTACAAAAAAAGCACCTCCCCCCACAGAAATTCCTGCGTACGTGCCTGCATACAAACCCATACAGTCCCCCTAGCATGGGTATGAATGGTAGTGTAGCAGGTGAGGCATAATTTAGACAAGTATTGTAAAGGTGCCTGAAGGGTGTACATATAAATTATGGATGCAAACGACTAGTTGACTATTTGATAAGCAAAAGCTTATCAGATAGTCAACTAGTCGCTTCCCCCGCTTGCTGCCTCTATTAGAGTCAGCAAGAGGTGGGGAGCAGGAACCAGTGCTGGGGGGAGCCAGCTTAAAAGCCAGTTCCCCCCAACACCATCTCCACAGGGGCAGGGCAGACAGGGGGGTAGTGGGCGCAAGCCAGGAAACAGTGGTCCCACCTCGTGCTCAGGAGAGGCGCAGCGTCTGGGACTTTTTAAATGCATTAAGAGCCTGACAGCTCTTAAGTGTTGGCTCTTAATACATTTAAAAGGCTGGTGCGCAGCGGAGGGGACCCTGCGTGACCAGAGAATCAGCTGTCCCAACAGGCTCTTAATACATTTAAAAGGCAGAGCTGCAGGGGGTTAGCTCCCAGGTTGGGAGTTAATCCCACTGAGGCTCCCCCACTTGTCGACTAATCAACTAGTTGACGGAAAATCCATCGACTAGTTGATTAAACTAAATTTAATATCCCTGGTATGTACAGTAAACTTCCGATAATCCGGCACCTTTAGGACCCAGGGGGTGCCGGATTATCAGATTTGCCGGACTATCAGAAGCGGGGGCTATGAGGGGTCTGGAGTGGGGTGAGGGAGATGCCACCCCAGATCCCTCATAGCCTCCCCTTCCGATAGTCCGGCTCCGCCCCAGGCGTCCCCGATTCAGCTGCTGCCGGGCCGG